GCTAACCCATAAGGGAGATTTCTCCTAATCTTTCTCTCTTATTTCACATGTATCAGAGCACAGGAATAGTTTCCAGCCAACTCCCACGGTCTCCGGTATAACCCATCACCGCCAGGGCTTGTCGCTGCTCGCCCGCCGCCGCTGCCGCCCCAACCCCCGCCTTCCGCCCGGCCGGCCTCCCGCGTCCGCAGAGTTCCAGAATCGACCGTCCTACCACACCATTCGGAATCGTCTCTGCGTGCGACCACCGGGGTCCCAAGATCGCGGGCTAACGAACCAACCCAAACTCGCCTCCACGCGCTCCCCGCAACAGTCAACACCCACCCGCTTGCCGACCTGCCGCTCCCGCCGCGCTTGCCGGCGCTTCGTCGGAGATTGTCCGCCTCCGATCTCAACCTCCTTGATCTCCTCCTCGTCCCTCTTTCCTTGATCTGTGGTCGGTGCGTCATCGGAGCACTTTGATTTTTAGGTTTCTCCCTCTTCATGATGGCTGCCCAACTTGAAATGATCAATTTCGGTCGCGCCACCTAGGTAAATGACGTCCAAAATTTGACCATTGTGGCAAGCTAGGCCACAAAATTGATAGATGTTATGGATGCCGCTTCAAATGGACGTCCTCCTCGACCTATACAATGGCTAATTCTGATCCACCGCCTCCCCCTATCACCGTCTGCGACATTCCTATTTCAGCAAATAACATAAATAACCCGGTTAACCTTTCAGGAATTTCCTCTCAGATGGTTGAGGACCTCAGCACTCTAGTTCCACACTAACCTCGCTTCTTGTTATCGCAACAGGTCCCCCCAACCCCCCCACCCTTTTGTTGGTCTGACTCACCTCTCTCGGATCTTGGGGTCTTGACTCATGCGCCACCGATCATATCACTGGTAACAAGTCCTTGTTTTCCCCTTGGTCATGTCCGGGTAATTTTACCCTCGGTAACGATGGCTTATGGGTCTAAGTCTCATCTCTCATGGTATTGGTACTGTTCATAGTTTCCCGTCCTATCCGTTGATAATGTACTTTATGTCCCTCTGGGGTCTCCTCCTTTTAACTTATTGTCCGTAAGCCGTCTAACTCGTTCCCTTAATTGTGTTTTTCATTTTCATTTGACCAAAGATTCTCTTGGGGTTCAGGACCGGAGTTCGGAAACACTGATTGGCACAGGATGTGTCGTCCACATGTCATTGCCTATATCCATCTCACAGCCCTTCTCCCATGTTGGCATAATCAGGGAGTCACCATCCCTTCTTCATGATCATTGAGGTCATCCAAGTCTTTCCAAACTGCAGCAACTTGTTTCCGAGTCTGTCGAATATATAAGTTTGTCGTGTGAGTCGTGTCAGTTAGGAAACATACTCGTAGTTCCTTTCCTCGTAGTGTTTCACAAAGAGCGTCCTCCCCCCTTTTCATTGGTTCATTCTCTGATATTTGGGGCCCTATTCTGTCAGTCAACTTTGGATTTCAGTAATTTTGTACCTTTATTGATGACTATTCCAGATGTACTTGGTTTGTTTCTCATGAAGAAATCGTTCTGAGTTGTTGTCTCTTTTTCAGAACTTGTTTTCAATGGATAAAAACTATTTGGGGTTCTATTCCGCACTTTCGTGGATAATGGCCGTGAATCTTTCTCCAACAGTTCAAACATTTTATGGCTTCTCATGGCATCCTCACCAAACCTCAGTGCTTATACCCCTCAACAAAATGGGGTGGCTGAGCGCAGAATCGACACCTTATTGAAACAACTCGTACCCTTCTTATTCATGTCCATTACCCTCACGTTTTTTGGGGTGATGCAGTCTCACAGCAGTTTATCTTTCAACCGCATGCCATCTTCTATCTTCCGTCCGAGATACAAAATCCCTCCTTCTAGCTTATTTCCCTCAAGCCCTCTGCATCCATTAAACCCCCCCCCACCCCCCCCCCCCCCCCCCCCCCCCCCCCCCCCCCCCCCCCCCCCCCCCCCCCCCACCCCCCCCCCCCCCCCCCCCCCCCCACCCCCCCCCCCCCCCCCCCCCCCCCCCCCCCCCCCCCCCTCCCCCCACCCCCCCCCCCCCCCCCCCCCCCCCCACCCCCCCCCCCCCCCCAGCCCCCCCCCCACCCCCCCCCCCCCCCCCCCCCCCCCCCCCCTCCCCCCCCCTCCCCCCCCCCCCCCCCCCCCCCCCCCCCCCCCCCCCCCCCCCCCCCCCCCCCCACCCCCACCCCCCCCCCCCCCCCCCCCCCCCCCCCCCCCCCCCCCCCCCCCCCCCACCCCCTCTCTTCGAGTTTTTGGGTCTACATGTTTTGTTCATGATTTTTAGTCCTGGTCTTGATAAGTTATTCCTAGGTCCACAATGTGTCCTTCTTAGGATTTCAACGGTCACAAAAGGGCTATAAGTGTTTTTTTCTCCCCGTCCCTCAATCTCATTTTTTCTCTGCTGATGTCACTTTTGATGAGTCTTCTTTTTACTTTTCACATCTATCTCTATTTCTGTACCTCCTCCTCTCCCTGTTACTGTTGATATTCCTCTATATGTGATCCTCCTGTATGCTCCACCCATTTGTCTTCTCCTTCTTTAGACTCTCATTCACCACAGGATCATCCACACCCCTTCATGTTTTAAGTGCCGTAATCGTCTCCCCTCATGACTCACTTTCCCTATCACTTTCCGGTGCCCCCGCCTCAAAACAAGTGTCCTCCTCCGCCTCCGGCTCCATCAACTGAGTGTGACTTGCCTATTGCCCTCCTAAAGGTTATACGCTCTAAATAATCTAACCCGTAAACCCTTCCCCCTTCCCCCCATTATATGTTCTTAGTTTTACCACAGATTATCTTCTCCCTCTTTTTACACTTGTCTCTCCTCCCTTTCTTTTTCTTTCTTTCTTTCTGGTGTCCTTCCTAAAGCTGTGGGTGATGCCGTCTCATCCTGGCTGGCGTCAAGCTATCTGGATAATTAAGTGCTTTACAGAAAAGTGTACTTGGGAGCTTGTTCCAATTACCATCTGAAGCCTGTTGTTGTTGCAGGTGGGTGTATGCGGTCAAGGTTGGCCCTTATGGGAGCAATTGATCGTCCTGAAATCTCGACTGGTTCCAAAGGCCTACACACATATTTTTGGGGTTTGGATTAGGTGATACTTTTTCTCCAGTGCAAAATGACCTCTGTTCGCCTATTCATTGCCATGGGCCGCTCTTCGCAATGGCCTCTTTATCCAACTTGATGTCAAAATGCTTTCCTAAACTGGTGATTTGCATAAGAAATTTATATGGAGCAACCGCCTGGCTTTATTTGCTCAGGGGCGAGTCAGCTGGATTGGTATGTCGTCTCGCAAATCCTTATAATGTGCCTAAAACATTCTCCTCGGGCTTGGTTTTGGTAAATTCAGTTTGTGTTGTTTCACACTTGTTATGTCTCGCAGTGAAGCGATCATTCAGGTTCTATCGCCCTCAGTGCTGGACTGTATCTAATTAGTGTTTCGATGATATTTTTTCTCAACAGGAAGCGACTATCTTGGCCATCTCTCAGATGAACAACACCTTTGGTCATCATTTCAAACCAAAGATCTGGCAACTCCGGTACTTTTTGGGTATTGAATAGCACAATCCAATGATGGTATTGTCATATCTCATAGGAAGTATGCGTTAGACATCTTGGAAGAACCAGGGTTACTTAACTGTATCTGTTGAGACACCTATGGACCCCTACCTCAAACTCCTACCACTCAGGGGGAGCCTTTCTCAGATCCTGATGGTAAGAAGATTGGTCAATTAAACGTCCTGACATTTCCTTCGCAGTTAGTGTGGTGAGTCATTTCTAACTCCCCATGGGAAGAACCATTGGGATGCAGTTGTTTCGCATACTGAAGTATATTAAGGATCACCTGGAAAAGGTTTTCGATATGGCCCTAACAACGATACAAAAATCGTTTGTTATTCAGATGCTGATTGGGCTGGTTCCCCTTCTGATAGGATGTCTACTTCTGGATATTGTGTCTCTATTGGTGGCAACCTGATATCTTGGAAAAGTAAGAAGCAAAGTGTTGTGGCAAGGTCCAGTGCAGAAGCATAATCTAGAGCTATGGCATTAGTCTACTTCGAGCTTGTGTGGCTTAAACATTTGCTTAGTGAATTGAAATTTGGAGTGTCACTCACATGACCTTTATATGTGATAATCAGCTTGCTCTCCCATATTAGCTCTAACCTTGTCTTCCTGAGAGAAACCAAACACATTGAAGTTTCTTGTCACGTCATTCGAGAAAACATCATATCCGGAGATTCAAGACTGAGTTCTTTAACTCAAGCAACTAGTTGGCAGACATATTCACACTAAGTCCTTACGAGGACCTAGAATTGATTATCTTTGTAAGAACAAAGTTTGTGGCAAGGTCCGTGCAGAAGCAGAATATAGAGCTAAATTGGCATTAGCTACTTGCGGCGTTGTGTGGCTTAAACATGCTTATGAATTGAAATTGGAGATGTCCCTCCATGCCACTGATCTGTGATATCAAGCCTGCTCTCCATATAGCTTCTAAAACCTTGTCTTCCATGAGGAAACCACCCATTGAGTTGAATTGTCACTTCATTCGAGAAAAAATCCTATCCGGAGATAGCCAGACTAGGTCGTTACCTCAAGCAACTAGTGGGCAGCTATATCACTAAGTCCTTACGAGGACCTAGAATTATTATCTTTGTACAATCTTGGAACATAATGAATTTTATGCTCTTAGCTTGAGGGGAGTGGTTGATATTAAGATGTGTGTGTTTCTGTTATTTGGACCCCCATTCCTGTTTAAAGGCATTGACCCATATCTTACAATATAAATAAATTACCCTATGTGTATGCTAAACACACAAGGGATATTTTCTCCCAATCTTCTCTATTTCTCACAAATCTAATTCTCCTAAACAGAGAAATAGGGAAACTATGAAATCTAGGAAAATAAAATAAAATAAAAGATTATGTATCTATTTCCTCTAATTAGGAAGATTCTAAAGATATTATCTCAAATTACAACAACTATACTTACCACCCATGTTGCATGTCATCATTTGCTATATGGAAATCAAAGTACACGTATGTTCCTTGCTCATATTCATCTGTTGCAACTTTTGGCTCTTCGTGCCGTTGAAACCATGTGTTATACTTGCGGTGATATCTCCAAGACTGTTTCTTTAGCTCTTTTGCAGCCATATATTGTTGGTAAGTATTCTACAGAAAATAATGAATGTAAGCTCACATGACAGAATTAGAGTAATACGAATCACCCAAAAAGTCCCCGTACCTGTTGATAGTAAAATGCAAAGAACAGGGTATCAGTACCGTATGGTTCTAGACCCACTCTCTCCCAAAAGGCTGGATTATTAACAATTGGTGCCTGAACTTGAGGAAAACTAGGAGGAGTTATCGTAGGATGTTTCTGCATAACCGGAAAAAATGGAAACTTTTGTCTTATAATCTAGTAATACATAATATAGTATTCAATTAAAATGATGATTATTAAAACCAAAATAGTATACAGGAGTGTAGGTCCTGGGACGTTCTGAGTCCTTAGGTTGCGGAAGTTTGAGGTGAGCTGCCTCAAGCATCTGTAAATTATATAACTGATCACGAACTCCACCAGAATTAGCAGTGAATGCACTAAAGTTGTCACCAACAAGTCCAAGGTCAGTAGAATTTCTTCCTATAACACCAAGGTTACCAGTACGCTGATTTGATTGTAAAGGTTGGCCGGGAGACAAATCAATACCCCTAGAAATCTGAACAGGCTCTGGAAGAGAGCCAGGTACTCCTGCCTGCAGCATAAATGTCAAACAGTGTGAATCACGCATGAATATATTTTACATAATACACGCACAACATGCCCATTGGATTCTTCCACGCCATGTTTCAACATGAATCAAAATATAAATAGGTATATTTGCTGTGTACAAAGCAGAATAAGGTTTTTGTTGGACCCAGCCCATCTTATTGCTAAAGAACTAGTTGAAAACACCCAAACCAACTTTCAGTTTAAAAGAATACTGTGCCAAAACGTTTGACACTTTTTTAGTTGCAGTTAGAGGTAAAATTTAACTCAAACTTCAGTTCAATGTAAGTTTAAAATGTGTTACCCTTTTTTTTTAACTCTAGTTGAGTTCAACCTGACATAGTTTCCTAACTGAAATCCAAACACAGTTAGTCTTCTAGCTTTCATGTTTAAAACAACATTAGCTAACTAATTCGTTTTCCAAACATGAAAAAATGAAACGAAACTGTTAAATATATATATATACATATACATATATATACATACATACATATATATATTCTCACAATTTAGGGTAGAATCTGATATTATTATTATGCTGAGAATACAATCCATATATACAAGACTAGGAAGCTATTTTAGGAAGCAATAATAACTCTTAAACAACCAGATCCCTATATGATTCAGGGATATCCCCATTATTCAAAATAATTATAATCTATTAAATAAGGAAAAAAATATAACTAACAGAAAAACAATGATTCTAACAAATAAAACAGATTCTAACCCTCCCCCTCGAGCAGGCCAATAAGTATTTTCCATCCCCACCTTGGAAACAATACTCTCAAAGTTGTTGTTTAGCCCCTTTCTTAGAATATCTGCAAGGTTGTCTTGTGAAGAGATATATGGAGTGCAGATTAGACCACGGTCTAATTTTTCTTTGATAAAATGTCTATCAACCTCAATATGTTTAGTTCTATCATGCTGCACTGGATTATGAGTTATGCTAATAGTAGATTTGTTCTCACAATAGAGTCTCATTGGTTCATTCAATTTTATTCCTAAGCCTGCGATAGTGTTCACATCAGTCGCCAAGATGATTTTCAGCCAAAGTAGTTGACATATCTCTTGTGCCATTGCCCTGAATTCTGCTTCAGCACTGGATTTGGCAACCACATTTTGTTTTTTACTTTTTCAAGTCACGACATTCCCTCCAAGGAAAGTGCAATATCCCGTAGTTAGTTGACCTCCTATCCACAATTAACCCTGCATAGTTTGCATCTGTATGTGCTTCTAGACTTACTTTCCCATTTCGTTAAAACAAAATTCCCGTGCTTGGGGTTCCTTTCAAATAGTGTACAGTTCTTAGTGTAACTTGTAAGTGAACCTCTTTCGGTTGATGCATGAATTGGCTATCTAGACTCACGGCGAATGCAACATCAAGTCTAGTGTGAGATAAATAAATCAATCTACCAACTAACCTTTGACACATTTCCTTGTCAACTGCAATATCTTCTTCTGCATTTCCCAATTTCATGCTAGGATCAATTGGTGTACTTGCATGCTTGCATGTTGTCTTACCAGTTTCTTTCAACAAATCAGTGATGTATTTCTATTGAGATATGAATATACCCACTTGCACCCTACTGGTTTCTTTTCATTTGGGAGAGCAACCAAATCTCAAGTACTATTTTTTCTAATGCTTCCTTTTCGACATCCATGGCTTGTTTCCTTTTCCACATCCATCACCTCAGATAAAGAGGTAGGTGTGGTTGTGGTGTTTAGGCTTGTGAGGAAGGCTTTATGGGTAGGAGAGAAGTGTTTAAAGGATAATAATTGGCTAGAGGGTATAGCAGCTTGGTGGTACATTTCCTAGTCTCTTTCCTAAGGGCAATTGCAATATCTAGGTCTTCATAAAGTGGTGGTAAACCGGATTCAGGTTGCTACAAATTCTGAAAATCAGAGGTTGATTCAATGGAGATTAAAAGATTAGGGTTAGTTACCTCATGTAATGTTGGGTTGGATTGTTGGACATGGACAGATTCTGGAATAGCCTTTGACTTCCTTGTATAAACCATTTTTTTCCCAAATCTTACATCAGCTCCATCTTGAGTGGGTTCCTTCTCAGTTGTTACATTATTAGTCCCTATTTCAAAGTCCTAAACTTAAGTCAGGGAGCATAAGAAGATCATTTTCATTTCTTGCAATCTCCCCCTGAAGATGATCTTGGGGAAGTAACTTTGGTGTTCAAAAAAGGTGACATCTTTGGACACAACGAATTTTTTGGATGGTGGGTGATAAAATTTATATCCTTTTTGTGTTGATGAGTATCTTATAAAAACACATTTAGGCTCTAGGATCAAGTTTACCTCTATCACTACTGTGCACATGGACAAAAGAAACACACCCAAATATTCTTGGAATAAGGTGGTTGGATGTGGACACATTAGGATAAAAAAAGGACAAAACCTCCATAGGGCTTTTGAAAGCTAGGATACTAGAAGGTAGTCTATTAATTAGATAACAGGCAGTGAGAACAGCCTCCCCCAAAACATTTTAGGAACCTTATGTTGAAAAGGCAAGGATCGCGTTTGATCTAGAAGGTGTCCATTTTTTCTCTTAGCAATCCCATTTTGTTGAGGTGTTTTTACACAAGATGACACATGAATGATGCCTTCCTTTTGACAAAAGGATATAAGCCCATGATTCAAAGTAATCATTGGCATTATCGGATCTAATCCTCTTAATGCTAACACCAAATTATTTTTTACCATGGAGCAAAAACGTTGAACCACATAACTGACTTCGGATTTTTGTTTTAGTAAGAAAACCCATGTGACTCGAGTACAATCATTTATAAAGGTAAGAAACCAACAGGCACCAGAAACACACCTGTATGAATTAAATAAAAGGGAAAGTGCTCTTATTATTACTAACTGGAAAAGGAACACATTTGTGCTTAGCAAGTTCACACACATCACAATTGAGACTTGCCACATCTAATTTGCTAAAAAGGGAAGGGAATAACAATTTCATCACCCTAAAGGAAGGATTTCCAAGGTGACAGTGATGTAGGAAGACCTTTTCCTTGCTGGTCTTTATTGAATCAGAGAAAAAAGAGGTGTTATTTTTGAGGTCTGGTGGCAGATTTGGATGGTCCAAGTAATACAAGCCATTCCATTCTCTAGCATATCCAATCGCCCTTCCTGAGTACTTGTTCTATAAAATACAAACATTTTCATAAAAAATAGCATTTTACATGATAGATCTGTATGAGTTTTTTTAGGGAAACTAAACTGACAGACAATTTAGGAATATGAAGGACATTTTTAAGGGTTATAGATGGGCTTATTTGAACTGCTCCTTGACCTACTCCAATCATTAGAGAGCCATCGGTTGTGGATATTTTCTTGTTGCTACGGCAAGGGGTGTAAGACGAGCAATTTTTAGGTAGGGGTGTCATGTGGTCGGTAGATCCAAAATCTAGTATCCAATGAGTTAGGGTTTTTGTCTGAGGCATTAAATCCAAAAGAAAGGAACTCGCCAAACGTACCTAAAGTATCACAGAACAACTACCTGGTGACTTATCCAACGTGAGGAATGATCTCATTTTCTCTACCTGATCCTGGTTAAGTGGAAGCACTCCTCCTATGTTTTCTTCATTGGTTGCAACACCTATGTGTGCCTATCCACCCTTTCTAGTGTTGTCTCCCTTTTTTCCCCACTCCTTGTCACGGTGTTGGGATCCCCAATCTCTACTAGGCGGTTTTCCATGCAGCTTCCAACATTTATCACGAGTGTGGCAAGGCTTATTACAGAAGGTACACCACACTCCTTCACCTTTCTTCTCCATATTGGTTATTCCCTCCTTTTTCGGGTCAACCATCATGGCAGAGCTGGAATCGAACGGTAGGTTGCAGGGGAAGCAAAGCGGAACAGGAGCTGGACCCGATCGGTTGAAGAGTAACTATCCTAACTGGGACAACAGTCACGAAAGGCGAAAAATATTTAGAAATAATTATAGTAAATAAGAATATATCTTAGGGAAATATTTTATTTAGAACAATATTCATATTTTATTCTAGGGAAAGATTTTATTTAGGAAATAATTAATATAAATAAAGGGAGAGTCTAGAGTTAAGGGTATGTTTTTTATTATTGAGTTGTTGACAGGCTACCGTCTTATGAGGGAAGTTATGCTCCCAAAGTAATTGAAGGAGGTTATGCTCCCAATTATTGTTTACCTTTGTTTATTCAGATATTAGCATCAATAAAAGAAATTCTTTAGTTCAATTCCATTCTTTCATTATTATTTTGCTTACTTTGAGTGTGTGAGAGGGTGATTTCGTTACGTCTCCTACTCGGGTACGTAACACACACACACACACACACACACACACACACATATATATATATATATATATATATATATATATTTATATATGTGTGTATGTATTTATATATGTGTGTATGTATTTTATACTACTATTTTGTCTTGCAATGATGCGCTCCTCTACATATTTTCCTTCTGTAGCAGTTGCGGCAGAAGAATCAATCTGTACTCTTTATATTGTTCCATTAGGGACGTGTAGGCCACACACGCTATTCTCAGACTGGAAAAACAGTCTTGCTACCACCAATAACCTCGTCAGCACCTTCTAGCTCCATTTCAAGGTCCACCTTCCTTCTTTTCTCTGTTTGGAACGTGCGTATTTGTTATACTCCTCCCTTGGCTAATTCTGTATATCATTTTTCAATCTTTACAATTCCAACCACAACTTCAAAAAAACTCAGACAAAATCTATCTATCTTGGTCAGCTTTTGTGGAACTATGGCTCCTTGGTTAGAGGCATCACAACCATTTAGAGATATTTAAGTTCTACAGTGATGATGTCTTTGCATATACCTATTCTAAAAAGATTAAAGAACAAGTTAAAAGTAGTGAAGTTTGATTTCTAACTAAGTTTTGTTGACAATCTGTAGAGCCCTACATTTTAGGAACCATGAGGTCTTTCATAACCTATAATTCCTTTTGGAGTACGTCCAAAACTATCCTTGCCAATGATATTCAATGCCTGTATGATTCACCTCAGATGTTGGCATCTATCTAGCAATTAAATCATTCAGTCTCTTTTGTTGCTCAATTCCAATCTATCTATAGCGAAACTAAAAATGCTTTTGGAAGGCGATTTGGTGTATGAAATGAAAAAGAAACTTGATAATTTGTTCACGGTGTTAGTCGTGCATCCCGAAACCCAATTTTTGATCATATTGGTGGTCAAATTTTGACACGTCAAGAAGTTTCCCAATGTAAGATCTTGCGGAATGCCCTCTTTGTATTCTAGCCTAGAAAAATAGTGGGACTTGATCTGAAAGTTATTCAAACTTCAGTAATGGTATCTACCCAAGAAAAAGGAGGTTAGTAGGACATGAAATATATTACCGATGAAGCCATTGATTTTGGGACAGCACTGTTTGGGAATCGGAAGCCATGGTTCCGCTATGTAGAATACAAAATTTAGTTAAATAAAAAATAAATGTAAAATTAAATTTCATGGCTCTACTAAAAATCAAAAGTTGAATAAGAAACTGCAACAAAAAATCAACTTCAAATAAAAAACATAAATTAAACGACTACAGAACACAAAACTAATATTAAAAAAATCACAAACCAAGAGAAACTCAATCAGACCAAAATGAAAAACTGAATAAGAACTGATGGCATACCGCCTAGTCATGGTCAAACACTTTCAAAGAAGAGTTGAAGTCGTATGTGGAAGATGAGCCTAGACTCTATCTCTAGGGCTATCTTGGGCCATTATGGAGCTTTTAGAGTAGGAAGAATTTCGAGCTTTGTTTTTTGGGCCAAGTAGCCTACGATTTATTTTGGGCCTTGTATTATAAGCCTAGTAGTATAGGTTTTTTATTTTAGACCTTGTATTTTAGGCCAAGTAGAATAGGGTTTTGACCACTTAAGTAAAAAAGGACCAAGGTCCAATGTTGACCCAAGTGGGACGTCCAAGGAGCTAGTTTGACCAAGGGGTCAAAGTTTTCACGCTAGCTTGGTGGAAAAGGAGTTGTGGGACTTCCAAGCCATGTGTCCTCCTTTCTTTGGAGTGTTTTCCTCATAGCTAGTGATCATATGTCACTCTAGGAATAAGGAGGATTCTCCATAGGTAGTGGTCACATGTCCTCCTCCTAATGGAGAGGATTTTTTCCACATGTCCTCCTCCTATTGTAGAGGAATTATCTCCTTGCTCTCCAAGTTAGCAAAGGTAGAGTTTTTAGGTCTAGCTTCTACAATTTGGAGACACCCTTAGCCTATCAATAAAGATGTCTCCCACTCGTGTATTCACCTTGGATTTTGAGTAATGTTATGCTGCCAAGAATGAGCCATACTACTCATATTATGTCACCCTAGGCTAGAGCAACCTAAGTGGCCTCCTCTAGCCACCTTCCTTCAAGAGTTGGTCTAACCTCTCTTAGAGCATCACTAAACACCTCCTCCATGCCTCAAACACTCCAAAACCGAGAGCTACTCCTCCATTAGCAAATTTGGTTCCACACCATATCACCCTTTATCCACCTTCATGACTTTTCTTCTACATTTGGCCCAGCCTAGCTAGGAGGATTGTCATCATTTGGTATCAAGAGCTTAGGTTCTACAAGAACTAAGTCTTTTGGTCCTTTACTATCATTTTATTTTCCGTGCTGTTATGTTTGTTCCTTACTTGCCTTGTTATGTTTTTCCATCTATCATATTTTGTGACCACCCATTAATGTCTAGTTTCACACTCAGATGCATATACCTCAGCATGAGAGGTATGTGTTGGAAGTCCGACATCGATTAGAGATCAGACCAATTTATACTATATAAGTAGGTGGAAACCTCACCTAACAAGCCGGTTTTGGGCCAAGTAGTCTACGATTTATTTTGGACTTTGTATTTTGGGCCAAGTAGAATAGGGTTTTGACCACTTAAGTCAACAAAGGACCAAAGCCCAATGTTGACCCAAGTGGGACGTCCAAGGAGCTAGTTTGACCAAAGGGTCAAAGTTTTCAAGCTAGCTTGGTGGATAAAGAGGTGTGGGACTTCCAAGCCATGTGTCCTCCTTCCTTTAGAGAGTTTTCCTCATATATAGTGGCCACATGTCACTATAGGAATGGAGAGGATTCTCCATAGATAGTGGAACATGTCCTCCTCCTAATGGAGAAGATTTTTACCACATGTCCTCCTCCTATTGGAGAGGATTTTTCTCCTTGCTCTCCAAGTTAACCAAGGTAGGGTTTTTAAGTCTAGTTTCTACAATTTCGAGACACCCTTAGCCTATAAATAAAGGTATTTCCCACTCTTGTATTCACCATGAATTTTGAGTAATGTTATGTTGATGAGATTGAGTTATACTACTCATATTAAGTCATCTTAGGCTAGAGTAACCCAAGTGGCCTCCTCTAACCACCTTCCTCCAAGAGTTGGCATAACCTCTCTTAGATCATCACTAAACATCACCTCCATCATCCTCAAACACTCCAAAACCGAGAGCTACTCCTCCATTAGCCACTTTTCTTCTAGTTTTGGTCCAACCTAGCTATAGGAGGATTGTCATCAAGAACTCAAAAAGAATTAACTTGTTTTCTTAAATTACTTAATAAAAAGATTGAAACAAAGAGAAGCACAGCATAAAACTTAATAAAAAAAATTAGTATGAAGGCAACAGAATTAAACAAATTTAAAAATATACTGAGATAAAGACTGAATAAAAGACGAAAGCAAAATGAATTATTATTTTTTAAATAATAAGATGCTGAATTAAAGACATTAGAAGAATAAAAAAGCTTGTTGGCAGTAGCAGAATGCAAAACGAACTAAATTATTTCAAGAAAATATTAAACGAGGACAAAGAAGAAAAAGAACAAAGAACAAAGAAAATTCTTACTTAGAGTGGCAGGAGATGTTAGGTTGCCAGAGAAGAATGGTTGCTGGGGTGGGGTGGTCTGAGGAGAAGAAGGCTTACTGTGGGGAAGAGAGAACATAACGACGTGTTGAAGAAACATTCACGGGTGGTTTTTGTTTACATTCCACATAATACACTATAACACTTAATATACAAAATACATTTGGAAAACCTAAAATACTCTCACAAATGACGTTGTGAGGGTATTTTGGACTTATTTTATTTTGGGTTCACCCCCTTTGTCACCTAATCTTTATAGTCAAACTAGGATGGCCGACTCACTGGCTCAACCATCATATGATCCAGGGTTTACAAATATAAATCAGATGCATGGCAACCGATTTTGTGCAGACAACATAGCATGTAGGTTTCTGTGTGCATGTGTAAATTTATGCTGCAGTATATAAGATAATCTGTCTTAAAGCATATAAAAGCAGATGAGTTAGTCGGTATACCGGAGAGTCTATTATAGCATATGTGGATTTCAGTTCATCTTCGTTCATAAAATTCTTGCTAATTCCAGTACCAGTAGATTCAGTCCCCGAATCATCAGGAAAAATCTGTTGCTGTGACTCGTCAACCATAGAATTGCCAACATCTGCAGAATATTAAAAACTTTCTTGTATTTAATCTTTCACAAAATTACTATTATTTGTATGTAATGTTAAGGGTGTAAAGATTTCACAATTAATGTACAATAAATATAGATTAGGAGTTTATTTGGTAGATTTACTTCTCATTTAAAGCCTATATGTTTAGAGATTTATTTCCTTTTATTAGCAATTTTTTATTCCCACTACATACCAATGTATCACTTGAAAAAGAGAATGATTTTATTATTTTCATTCATGACAATTACATTCTCCTTACCTCTATTTGTAGCAATCTAATCTTCTAGAAAAGGGAAATAAGGAAATAGTGTACTAAAAAATAATCTAGAAGATCATACACCTATTTCTCTAATTAGGAAGATTTTATAGATATTTTCTCTAATTAATAAGATTCTATAGATATTTTCTCTAATTACAACACTCCCCCTCAAGTTGGTAAATAAATATCAATCATTTCCAACTTGTCTACAAGATCTTGAAATCTACCTGGAGGGGGGTTTTCTGTAAAAATATCTGCTAGCTGAAGTTTTGTAGGAACATAAGTTGTAATCACAAAGACTTTGTCTAGATTATTTTTGATGAAATGTTTGTCAATTTCAATGTGTTTGATCCTGTCATGTTGTACTGGATTATAGGCTATGCTCATGGCAGACTTATTGTCACAGTGTAGCTGCACAGGGTTATCCACCTTGACTTTAAGGTCATCCAAAATTATTTTCATCCAAAGTCCTTCAAACATTCTGATAGAGTATTAAGAGTGTATGAAAGGAGAAAGTGAAATTAATAGGATGGTTAGTCGGTTAGGGAGAGTGTTTAACTGTTAGCATTTCATATAGTACCCAGAAGTAGAATTTTTGTCAATAATAGAACTTGCATAGTCAGCATCAATATATATTTTCATAGTCAATGTCTCTTCCCTTTTGAATAATAGCCTATTTCCAGGACTTGACTTCAAGTATTGGACAATTTTGTCAACTGTTTGCATATGTCTCTCTCTTGGGTCATGCATAAATTGGCTCACTAGACTAACTGCATATGCAATGTCTAGTCTTGTGTGTGATAGATAAATATATCTTCCTACCAATCTCTGATATTGAGCCTTCTCTACAAGAGCACTTTCCTCACTTCCAATCATGTGATTCTGTTCTATAGGGACTACTAAGGTTTCACATCTCAGCTTTCTTTTTTCTTTTAGGAGATCAAGTACATATTTCCTTTGGGAGATGAAAATTTCGTTCTTAGAGTAAGCAACCTCTATTCCAAGAAAATATTTGAGTTTTCCTAGATCTTTTATTTCAAATTGGGTGCTAATTTTTCTTTTAACACCAATTTTTTTGTTTTTATCATCTCCTACAATAATCATATCATTCACATAGACAAGCAATAGAGTGAATTTACTAGTAGAAGACTGCTATATGAATAGAGTATGATCTCCTTGGCCTTGTCTGTATCCCAAGGAAACCAATTGCTTTTATAAATCTTCCAAACCATGCTCTAGGGGATTGCTTAAGACCCTACAATGCTTTCTTTAGGAGGCATACCTTGTGATAGATTCCTTTATCTCACTCAAAATAGCACACACACACACAACAATACTAGAAAAAATAGTATATTATTCTGGTAATCAAGAATACACTGTACAACACCCAACTCTCAAGGGAGCACTCTCCCTCCACGGGAACAACCTCCTGTCTATAAAACTAAATCAAAAGCTCTCTCACACAAGCTCCCTATCTTCTTATGAGGCCCCCCCAACCAACTAACCAATTAATTCCTAATCTGTTTCCTTCTATCCTAAACCCATTATATCCTATTACCTTATATCATATCATTACACCTTACTGCAGAACAACCTTGTCCTCAAGGTTGGAATCATGAAGCTTGATCTCATGGCTCCTATTCATCAATGTGTTATCATATGAAGGGAACCCACTGGCTACTGCCCTGACACCACTGTTTTATCCACAGGCTTCAACAATTCTTCCCCCTTCTTCACTGTTTTGACATACACACTATTATTTGTTTCTTTGCTTTCCAAACACCTAGACAAATACACAGCCATGTCCACATTGGTGATGTTGGTGAAAAACTTGTCCTTTCTGCATATGGCCTGTAGCTCTCCCAAGGAATACTCCCTCAACTGATCTCTTGGTGTTGATATTACTTGGGACTCCCATATCTTGAATTCTTGGATGAAATTTTTCCCACTCCCAGTCCATATTACTACTATCAAACCCTCAAATACCATGCTTCTCATATTCCCCTTGTTGAATATAGTGAAAAACTATATTTGAATTAATCTCCCTTGTGTAAAATACACACATAGGGTTCTCTATTTATAATAGAAGAAATATGGGCTAAGCCCAAAATACAAATGAGAAATAATAACAAACTAACTAAAAGATAAAAGATATAATATATCTAACACTCCCCCTCAACTATCCTTGCAGAGTTGCTGCCAGATCTTCCCAAGAAAAATTCTTGTATTATTGTTGCCAGGTCTTGAACCCCTGAACTGAATTTTCTTCCAGATTCTTTGACGGTTGGGTTTTGACTGAATTTTCTCCTTTATCTGAGGGTTTCTTTGCTTTCTTGATGTCTTGTAAAATATCTTTCTTAGCATCCAAACTTATCTTTCCCTCTTTCTTTCCTTTCAAGACATCCTGAAGAAATTCCTCTCTCCTTCCTATTTTTCCTCCATTAACAAAATCTTGATCTCCATTTACAGGCCTTGGACTGCCATCTAATCCTTTTTCTTGGTTTTGCACCCTTCCTCCAAGAACTCATGTGAGTTCTTTAAGCTCTTAGAGTATACCCCATGTCTCTGCTTTTAATTCCTCCATCATTGTCTCCTGCGAATCCATCCTTCCCTCTAGAGCATTCATTCTTCCTCCCATCACGCTCCTCTCCCAATGATCTGGCAGGTTGGACCAATTTGATAGATTCCTTTGATGAAATCAATCTTTCATTGAAAACAGCACACACACACACACCTAGAAATACTGGACCAAAAACAATATTGTATATTACTATGATGAACAAGAATACAAATGTACAGCATCCAACTCATTTTGTAGCAATGAGAGCTTTGATGTGAAAAAGTTACTCCTCAACCATCCATTCATCAACAAAAAGTGTATAGCAACTCTATTCTGTAGTTTCCTAGCTTGTGTGTGAACTTGATTTTGAAAATGATCATGAACCTTGTACCAAACATGATAGGAATGATTACTATCAGCGATTGAAGACACAACAACTTTTCATCTTGTAGCTTCCTCTTAGTGTATTTTGGATTAACATTGCCACTATCATGATATGATTCTTTCAAGAATCAAAGAGGAATGTTCAAACAAGCTACAAAATGTTGCAACCGGTGAGCCTTGATTACAAGTTCCACTTGTTGCCATGGAAGAAAATTTGATTCAGTTTTTCAAAAATGGCATGGGACCCTAAGCCCTTGATACCATATTTAAAACTGAAAAGCAGAATAAAGGACAAAAGGAGATAAACTGAAGTGTTATTTCTTAATGATAGTACAGAAAACAATTTATAAGAGAGCTGGTCTAACGACAGCTGCATATACTAACTTAGACCTAACTACTCTCTCGATAGAACAGTTAAGAACTACTCTTTCTACAATATATTCATACAACAATGTTTTTGTTAGCTGTAAGTTAGTTAGATTAGTATAACCCTCTGTGTTTCGTATAAATTGATCCCAGCTGTGTCTTTTCAGTAAGTTGAATGATAATTCTTCTCACAGTTTTAAAATTCTCTCTTATTCTAATAGTATCAGGGGCTGTCATGCCATAAATTGGTTGTTCAACATTTATAGGTTGGCCAACATCAGGATAACATTAGATTGTAACAACATATTATGAATAAATTCTACCAAAAACATGAACTTTTAAGTTAAAACATCAAAATATACCTGGATCTTTAGAAACAACTGACAGCAGTGATTGTTGGCTAGATGGGGAATGGACCGAAATGGGTGGCTGTGGTACTGAGGTGGAAGAAATACCACTAAGACCTGAAGACTGGACTCCAAGTCCCATACCAGATTGAGAAGCAACAGATGAGCCTTGAGAATTGAACTGCACATATAGTGAGATGTTATAATAAAAAGAAGGTCCCATATAGTGAAAAATCACAAAATTTAAAGCTCACAAATACCAGTATATGTCATGTAAAATATATATTTCCACTTCAGAGAAAAATCAAGTTAGGTTATGAAGATGCAATGTATGATACAAGAAAATATTCAAGTATTCGATAGAGTCAATTACAGAGAAGATAAATAAAATCTTCTGGGGCCTAGCCTAGACCATTAATAAAATTCTTCAATATGGTAATTGAGAGTATCTCAAAGGAGAATTGTAACAGTCAACGAGTTAAGGTATATAATAAAGTTCCCAAGTGTAAAAAATAGAGCTGTATGCCGAATGTTGGACAATGTAGACCAGTCAAACGTAAAAATTTTAGCCAAAGAATCAAGGTGTCTTTCGTTCTGCTTTGAAATTTTCGGGATATGACCAGAAACAACCCAAAATAGAAGCATGATGATTTCTAAAAGAATCAAGGTGTCCTTGCCATGAACACACGATGTCCTCAATGTGAATACACAATATCTTCAATATGAAGGGTGTGTTAGAGAGATAGATATGACCAAAATTATAATATATAAGTGAAGGCAAATCTCACATTACTAAATTGATTTAATAAAATTGAGTTAGACTTAAATTTCATTGTCTCAATATGGTATCAGATATCTCCTTTTTGTCAATTGTAGATCACTAGAGATATGGCCAAAATTATAGTATAGTAGTGAAGGCAAACCTCACCTTACTAAATTGATTTAATAAGGTTGAGTTAGGCTTAAATTTCACTACGTATTAAATATCTCCTTTTTGTCACTACAATTTTTATCTTTATAGTTACTCTTGATCCAAGTGATGATGCCACCACAGATGGGATCGGACCAACCTACATTGACATTCCTTATTTTTAAATTTTAATTTATTACAAAAGATATGAGAATGTAACTGGAGTGATTGATCTCAATAAATTAATTCTTTATTTTTCAAGTTTTATTATTAGGGAATACCAATCTTCTCTATATATTATACCGATTTTGTTTTCTCAATATAAATAAAGCATTCCTGGTTTCTCAGAAACACGATTTCAACCCAATATCTATCTATTTCCTATAATTTAACAGTTATTAAAGCATGTACAAGTACAAGAGGTCTTAACAATTTAAACTGTATTCATAAATGCTTCAATTCAACCAGAATGAATTTATAATTAAACTAATTGAAAGAAAATAATGGGACTACGCTTTTCTCCTGAATTTCATTATGAATTCTAAAGAAACAAAAGCAATAAATTCAACTCCCAAATGTATTTTTGACCATGCGTATGTGTACAATATACAGCCCAAGCAAAAACAATGACTACAATACACCAGAGGGAATACACGAACTTGCATATTTAAATTAGATAACTCAAGGATTCCAGCAAATTCAAAAGGCTCAGCATATCTACCTTTTACTTCAGGCAGTAAAAAAGTGTAGATAAATTTTAATTTTTTAACTATGCAATGAATCATAAATCTTTTGGCCAATAATGAATCTTCAATCCTTAAATTCTGTGTAAAGGAGAGGAAAAAAACACGTATAAAAATGATACCTGCTGTAAGAGAGGATTTTGTTGTTGAGCAGAAAACTGCTTGTGATTTCCTCCAGCATAGGATGGCATATTAAGAAGGGCACTTTGCCCTTGTTGCACTTGCTGGAACTTCTGTAAATATCTTTCCCTCTGATCAGGAACTATTTCAGTTCTTGCACGAACATGACCCTGAAGTACAAAATAAATAAGTCCCTTCAGAGGTATAAAAAAATAACAAACTACACAGCATATGTCCCATCCCATGAAGTCCTTACTCCCAGGTGATTATCACATGTACTAATAAGTATGTTATGCTTTCTACTGCAATTTTGTATGCCATAACTACCCATTCCTGTGTAATTAAAAATATATCTCTCAAATTTAGAAGGAATATTATTTCTTTCTTATTCTCATTATGAGGTTATTAACCTCTATAAATATACATGGGTTAGCTGCATATTTTAGGAAATGCAGACAGTTAATTCTAAGAAACAGATCCCTATCATTACGGGATCAATCATACATAAATAAACCTAATAAATGCAGCACATAACTGTTGCATAAATACAGCCCATCAAATATAAAAACATCCTAAAATATATCAAGACAATTAATACCACGTCAATCATGGTTTTTGACACTCCCCCTCAAGCTGGTGAATAGGTGTTTTCCATTCCCAGCTTGGATATAATCCCTTCAAATTTACTGCAGTTCAGGCCCTTGGTGAGGATGTCCGCAAGTTGGTTCTGAGTGGACACATATGGTGTGCAAATCATGCCACTGTCAAGTTTTTCCTTGATAAAGTGTCTATCGACTTCAATATGTTTAGTCCT